ATCATTTTAACACATCGATTAGGGTTTTCGTTTCTCTTAAGATGGCTCAAAGAGGAGTATGGCAGCTCCAGAAGCTCGTTGTGAGCTACTGTAATTGGGGAGGTAGCAGTAGAGGCATAAGGTACCTTAATCCTCCTTATTTGACCTTAATTTTGATTTCGGCATGCTATATTCATCCGATTTGTTATTATTCATCTCTATCTATCTTCCACAATCGATTCTCCTTTATTCACTTGAAATTTCCCCATTATTTTTACAAATCCGTATCTGTGAAGATGTTTAGAAATTTGGTCCATTTCTCTCTCTTTGATGTATCCATGTGGTTTTCAAAGGCTCTCTGGGCTCCATTTGTGCTCTGGTGCAGTGATGAGTCTTCATAGCTATGTACCGAGCATTGTTGTGATCCCATTTGGTGTTATCATCTATCTATTGATTCTCCTGTATGGACTTGAAATTTTACAACTACTTATACGAATCTGGAGTCTGAACATTGTAATTTCTGAAGCGAGAATCACTTTTCATGTTTCGAAATTGGGACCCTTTTCCCTCTTTGATGTTTCCAGCGTTCTGTTAGTGTTCTTATGCAAGTGATGAATCGTTACCATATCATCATAGTTAGGTACTGAGTATTTTATCTTCTGATCGTTCTGATGCTAATTTTCTTGGAAAAACTGGTGGACTGTTGTTATGCAGAGCCTTTATGGAATCAGAATTGCCTGCATTTATAGCAAAAAATCCGCAGCTCGATGTGGTGCCCGAGCTTTCACGGGGACAACATCCTTACTTGAAGGGCATATACAGTATGAAATCTTTCTCCTTTTTTTACCTCTTATCATTATGTGCAATGCAACCGCCTATAACGGTTCTTGATATTGGGGATTTTATCATACAATTGTTGTGTAGGGAATCGAAATGAGAGGGTGGTGTGTGTGAAGAACATGGATCCTGAAGAAGTGCTTCTGAATGCAACAAGGCTGAGGAACTCACTGGGAAGGAAAGTGGTGAAACTGAGGACCAGACATGTGACCAAACATCCGAGCGTTCAAGGCACGTGGACAACCGCTGTCAAGTTCTGAGACTTCCTTCCTACTGACTAGTTTGCGGTTTTAGCTGAATCGAATGTTGCAAGTATCAGGATTCATGGTTACCTCTATTTGCAATCCTAAGTTTGTACTGTGACTTGGTCATAGAATTCAGGCTTCAGATGTTTTGCAGTTTATGCAATGTTTAAATCTTGTCTGGTTAGTGAGTCTATAATAAGATTTCAAAAGGTTTATGTTAAAATTCATTTTGCTGATCAATTCTACTCCATATTGCTGGAAATTGTGAAATTCGAATTTTTACAACACTACTTAGTCAAAACTCAGCACAGAGAACATTGCGAGAGAACACAAACTTTTTCTTTCTTTTATATTTGTCAGAAGAGCAGAAATCAAACAAGCCCCTGTAACAATATTCATCCTAATAACTTTTACCGCATATACACTTTAAACAAAAGAAGAAAAATGATGGTAGGATTGACAATGGAGGATGAAAATTTAGAGAAGCTTTTGATTTTGGTAAATTAGCTTATGTTTTCTGGTGTTGGAGATGATGAATCAGACTTGTCTATGTCGCCAAGATTACTTGAGAATGAGTGTGACTTTAGATACGCTAATGACACTTCCAACATCACTTCCACTTCTTTCTTGTACTGTGCAAATATCAAAACAAATGTATCAGTTTAACCTTTTATGCCGGTTCTTTTAGTTCGTAGCACGGTAGAAAGACATGGACTAACCTCGTCGATAGCCCCTGATTTGATCTTCGATTGCATCAAGCACCATTTCTTGAAATGTACACCTATTGACATAGCCAAGAGATCCTTTCATGCAATGTGGTTTGCGACTCAACTACATACACTTCTGGATAAGTAGACTATTAATAGTTTGAGGATATTTGGGTTTACTTACCAACTCTTATATCTATAACAGATGAAGTCTCGTCTTTAGCTTCTAAGCGCCATCGACAGTGGACCTGATATGCATACAGAATTTTATGTGCCACGGTTATACTATGAATGATGGGTTGCAAACAGAATGAAAGATCAAGAACCATATTTTACTCATAGGTAATGTACCTCAAAGTAAGAACCAAAAGGAACATCATGTGGCTGTTGCACAGTTTCAAAAACCTGAAAGAAGGGAAGATAAGTATCATCAGAAATGAAGTTTTTATTTCATTTTGCTTATAGAGAGCATAAACAACATTAGCAACTACAATCTTCCACGGAAAAGATTTTGAATGAATGATTAATACCAGCGTTTTCTTATCTGGTGATAGAACAACGTGCTGCCATTCCGTCACAGCAGTGTCTGGTGGACACATTGGACTATTACAAATGGATCTGAACTTAATCTCTCTAACTTGACCATCATATTCTTCAGCAGTATGCCACGGCTCAATCTGAAAGATCACACAAGCAACAATGAAGTTCCTGAAAAGTCAAGCCTAAAGAGTGCAGCTTAACCCATGTGTGAAAACCGCAAAAAAAAAAACCCATACGTATGAAGATTAATGATCCAGGTATCAATGGCAAACTTACAATAAGATTTTTATCCTTCCGTGCAGATCTGTACTCATTAGTATAAGTGGAATCATCACTCAACAAGACGTTCAGGAATTGCTCAGGTGTGCAGGCGAAAACATCCTGCATACAAGAATATGATGCAAAAGATTCAGGACAATATCTTCGAACAACTTTAGCACTGATAAGAAAACACTAATGTTTACATTGTAGATGCCGACAAGGACTTCTTCCTTGACGAAAGCCTGAAACTTTACAGGTACAGCTGCAATATCTTCGGGAGCTTTAACTTGTAATTTACCACCTCCTTTCACAGAGCTACTATGAGCACGCAAGGCAGATTGTGCTCTCTCCTATACGGCAAAAAGCCACCCAACAGACAAAGAAATGTTAAGATTTCAGGCAAAATCACATCAAAATTAACTTCTTTATTAATCAGCCAAATATTGAATAGAGCACACGGTGGAGGAGTAACTTAAATATGTAAAATTTTACTCAAGAAAATGGATAGAGACCTTCTTTTCAACTTCTAACATTGCATGATAATTATTAACTGCACGCTGCAATGCTTTTAGTGTATGGTTCCTGTTCCAAAATGACGCAAATTTATACCTCACTCTACCTGAAATAAAGAAGGAATTCCACAGACACATAAACATAACAAAGTACCACTACAGATGAAAAATTCCAAAAGCTTTGGTCCTACACACAAAAGGCTATGCCAGGAATTAAATTGGGAAAATGTTCTTGCTGGCTTGTGCCGGTAAAGCAGGAACTATCAAACAAGCATTTGCTTAAGATAAAGAAAGACATGAAGTTTGATATAGTTACAATTATCCAATAACAGACATAATTACTAACCATCAGGAGTCCCAAGAGGGGGAACACCATGTCCACCAGCACCCATCCGTAGTATGATTGTTATAGCTGGGTTTATCAATGCATGTTGGCTTCTACGAATCTATAGGAAACAATAAAATTTTATGTATGATTAGTCCACTTATCAGTTTAAATCAAAATAAATTGGCTGGTCAAGAAAAGAGTACTACCTCATCTATATCTCCCAGAGGTACAACAACCTGCAAAATGTGAGGAGGAAGTTTTTAGCATTGATTCAAGCCCCAAGGGACTCCAAATGTAGTCACTTATAGAAACACTGACCTTCATTTGCTTAGAGAAAACATTGGAGTGAAAACATATGTGCCACGCAGAGACATACATTCGTCCATGATACAGGAAAGACCTTTCCAAGGCACATGAATAACTGTGCTCAACAACCTAAGGAAAATTGCACATGCCTAGTCAGAGTACAGGACATGTAAAAGGAAATACCATTGCAGGCACACAATGTTTGAACTTGAACTCTCATATGAGATTACTGTAGTGGTACATCTAGTACTGGTTAAGTTACCTCATCGGGGAGGAGATCAAATATCGTCTGCAGAGGCCCTGGCTTTTGATGTACAATTGTTGGGCCTTGCTGATCCAATGTGACCCTTCTTCGACCGGCTCCAGCATATCCAGTTACAGCCCTACCAATCAAATCCATTTTGTACAAAGTCTTAAACCACGAAGGCTACTTGTTATCAAGTGATATAATCAGAGGTGCAAATCCATTGAAAATGAAAAACCACCCAAATGCATGTAGCATGGTTATTTACAACAACCAATATCACATTTTTGCTTTCATCTGTGTAGAAACGGTTATAGATGTACTAAAAGTTAACCCGCATATGCAAAGAGATGAAATTTAACTCTAACAATTGTCATGAACCAAGAAAATTGCCACCCTCCTATCTAAACAAGATAAACCGTCTGATAGAAAGATCGAAATGGAACTAGAGGATTACCTAGGAGCATTCACAGGTAGTTTGATAGCATTAATGTTAAGGCAAACCTGAGAAACAAAATTGGATTAGCCTCTAAAGAAGACTTGAATGAAAACCCATATAAGCGAAAAAGAAATGCAAACAGAAACTAGGAAAAAGACATACCTGCCCAGATGGGCTATCTAATGAGTGCCACACTGGACCTGTCTGGCCTTCACGTTCAACAGTAATAGTTACTGAGCCAAGAACCGTACTTTTCCAAATGATATCCCAGTCATGAATTGTTACATTGATCTGCCAAAACAAATATTTATGGTAAATGTTGAAAAGTATCTGGTAAACACGAAACAGGTGGCCATCGATGCATGTTTTGCATCCAAAATTACCAAACTTAGATGCTTAATTTAAAAAAAACGTATTTTTTTGTATCCTTTACCAATTCGTATACATGGAATACGAGAGACCACGGGTCTGAACATGACAATCAACTTTATGCCTCAGCTTCACATGAGAATTCTAAACAAGATTCCCGCATTGTCTAACAAAGTCCTAAATTTTAAAAGCAGGTAAGTGATGATAACCTTAACAGGAAGCTCATCTGTAGGAAAATTGAACTCTTCACCCCACATTGGATTCCTCGAGCCAGGGACCATAGAACTGTAACAATCACAGAGACATATTAGACAGTCCAAAGGTGTAAGCACTCAACAACCAAACCAATATACTTTTTCCCTTTATAAGGATAGAGGCTATTAGGAACAATCTTAAGGACAGCATAAAAGAGCAGGAAAGAAAATGACATCAAAAGAAAAAAAGTAGCTCACATGCTCCTTTGCAAAGTTGTAAAAATCAATTGAAAAAGATTGTTATAACAACCTGAATCGCTTTTCTGATCCACAATTTACAATAGCATAAGGATCTGATGTTCCGTTTAAGTTTGCACCAATCAAATTCTTAGCAGCAAGTAGTTCCACCTGAGGAAAACACCCAAAATGATACAATCTTCAAAATTCTCCAGAGAACAAAGCTTCACACACTTAAGAACAACAATCAAGAGCTTACCTTGATTATATAAGCAGCATTTGTTTGAGCATCTCCTCTCAACTGTCCTATCTACAAAAACACAACTGCAAAGTCAAAAAATTTGGGAAATTACTCCATGAAAGATGAACACAAAAACACCTAAAACAAAATTCATCAAGTACCCACGAGGTTTCTCCGGAAATAACTACTGAGAAAACGATCAATTTGTGAAAACGACGAAGAAATTTCAAACCTTGTCTTTGTCAAACATGGCATCATCGGAATCAGGATTCTGCATGAGACGAGACCGATCAAATCCGGTTTCGTCTTCTCCGCCAGTTCTGTAAGCGAATAGCCAATAAGAAGCGATTACGAAGACCGAAGCAACCATCGCAACCTCAATCTCCCACGAAGACGGTAGTAGAAACTCCACCGGTGACTGAACCATCTCGATCGTAAAAATTAAGAAGAAGAGAAAAATGAAATTCCCAAAAGGAAAAGTGCGATCAATTTAAGGTCTATGGAGTTATTATTCTGGGTCTGGTCACACGACAGAGAATCACCATTTCTGGAAAAGAAGAAGAAACTTCGCTTTCTA